TCTCTCACCCCAGCTTTCTCCCCTCATGTGAAAATAAAGGAGAAACTTAATTTGCTTTGCTGACCTGAGGAAAAGTTTTCTGTATGAAAAATGTATAAATTAGATCATAAAATGTTTATATGGCTATCTAATACTCTTAAGATATTTTCTGAATTCTATGACTTCTGCATTCTTGTTAGCTGACAACACATTAGAAGTTTGGAATGCCTGAATTTTAAAGTACAAAGACTGCATCCATTTTTGCTTGAAGTCCTTAAAACTTCAGAAGATCCACTAACAGCCTAGAAGAGCCCTTCCCTTGGATTGGCAAGGCTTATGAATATGTAATGTTTTAGAGAGAGCGAGATATGGAATTTAATTATCAAGCCAAAGCTTTTTCCAAAATAATCATGTGCCCACAGGAACGAAATAGGAAATGAAACACACTACATTTAATTTGGATTAGGAGGTGGCCTTCCTAAGCAATTTATTAAAGTGTAAACAGTAATTATGTAGAAAGAACCTGGTGAGTAAATATGATAATTATGAAACTTACTAATTCACATTAATTAGTGGGGCAGCTAAACTGGATTACCAAGAGGTTTGAATTATATAATAGAATTACTAAAACTGCTCCCTTGTTAGTCTGTCTGCTTCTCTTTCATCTCCATGTTATTCTGTATACAGCTCACCTGGTACACGGAGGAAGTGCTTTCTCTGAAGAAACAGCATGTAAAGCTCAGGCTCAGGGTTGGGACTATAAAACAGCCATCTATTTCCTGCCTCTTACCCTCCTCATCCCCATCCCTCCCTATGACCTCAGAGTTTTAGATAAATGAAAATCGTCCAGCATTTAGGAGCACAAGCTATGAGACCTAGGTTTAAACCTCAGCCTTTTAGTAATTATAAGCTAAAAAATACCCACTTTATGACTAAGCATAAGAATAGCTTAATAACATACCTATAAGTTTGGGGGAATGGGATGGGATTTTCCTAGATTCTTGGTGGAAGGTCTTTGTTAAGAAGCATGGTTGCAGCAACAAGGAACTCCTCCGGTAAGTCCTGGTGTCCATACCTCACTCATCCCATTGGATTCTGTAAGTGGGCTTGGTAATCAACATAGCCTGCATTATATATTCCCATGTTATGGTTGAAGCATATTTGGGCTGTGTTTCATGCATGATGTGGTTGAAGCATATTTGGGCTATGTTTCATGCATGATGTGGTCTCACCTGGGTTGGTAAATGCAATGACTAGCAAACCAGAGGGGATACATATGAAGTTGGAAGGCGCCAAGATTAATTTATCTTTTCATTGGAAACAGGAGCAAAAAACCCATTATTTCATTAGTATTGTTTTGGCCTGATGCAACGTGAAAGGCATGCCTAATCTTCTACGTGGATGGTTGCCCTGATGTTTGTTGCCTGTTTGCAGTTTATGGCTTTGTGCTTCCTGTTGTTGCTGGCATGTAACTTCTCCAGATTCTGGTTCCTGGTGATGTGGCTATGGCAAGCATACATGAGACAAATCAATGAGGGAGTGGTGAAAAATAAAAAAAACACAGCTGCAGTAGAACGGTATATTCTGAGCTTGGTAAGAGTTACTATGCTTCTGGTTTGGGGGCACTGAAGAGACCAGGTATCCCGGAGGTAGGTATCATAGAATAAAGGATATTCTGCTACAAGATATTTCAGTTTCTTTTTTGCTACTAGATTAGAAATGATAAACAGTAAGAGGCATTATGTAGATCTAGAAGACTTAAAGAGGGCTCTCCCAAAGCAGGATAAAATTAAAGCCCTCAGTCTGAGACCATGAGTTTGAGACACTAGGGAGAAAATAACTTGTCTTTAGGCAGTTGGTCTGGAGTCTGGGGCTGGAGGCTGTCCATTGCAAATGATGAAGCAGGCCATTTCAGTTACTGTGGCCATGGTGACCAAAATGGAACCATCGGCCTGGAATGGGAGAAAACTGTGGGTGAAATTGTAAGACAATCCACAGGGTCTCAAACTTGAATCCTGATCTGCCAAAGGTCGTAACGGAAGGAGAATCTCCTCATAGGGAGGGGACTGCCAAATCTTGTAACTAAGACCTTTGTTTTGAGACTAAGCTTTTCCTTGAAGATCTTTCATAAATCACCACTGACACCATGGGGAGGACTTGGGGGCCAGGAAGGAGCACTCCCCCTTTTGCCTGCTTCTTAAATCCTTCAGCAGAGACCAATCTGGAACAGACTAGCCTGCTGCAATATTTGTTCGCCCTACTCCCCATCTGCCTGCCCGTTCCTCACTTTCTAACCCCCACACAATTTCCTGTCGTTGTTTTCCCCTTTATATTGATTAAATATAAAGTGTTCGTAATTTAAAGAATTCTATTTTCTTTTGAATTATCCAATAATGTATTATGCAGAAATGTCGAGCAAACGTGTACCGTTAGTGCTACACGGGAAAGTGCTTCATTTGAAACACGTGAACTTGGGTGCCTAGGTGGATAGATTAAACTTGACTGAAGTTCAAGGATAAGTAGAGTGATGCATCAATAAGCAGACTAACAAAACATGAATATTTACGTTCATTTTTGGGTCTCCAGGAAAACCTCTTTGCCTGGGTCCTACTAGGCAGCTCTGTGGCAGAGGCCATTTCCCCAGAATCAGGGAGGAGGGCCCTCAACATTTCTTACCTCCTCTAAGTCCAAACCCTAAGAAAGTAAATCCAGAAGCACCATCTTGCCTGTTCCATGCTGCAAGTATTCCTGTGTGAGGATTCTCTTCTTCTTTGAATGATCAATGATGAGAACATTTACCTTATTTAGGGAAATCTTTACACCCTGCCCAGAGGGGTATGGCCTTATTCTATGACCACAAAAAATAAGGCTGTCAGGGTAAAAAACAATAGGCATGACATCTGAACTCATGATTTGTGCAAAAGGAAAGCGGGTGGAGAGAGGCTTCACTCTATTAATACACAGCTCAGAAGTGAGGCTGACAGCCCTGGACCTCACCTGGGCACAGGTGTCACAGGTGCTGTATGGTGCAGGGCACTGTGGCAGATTCAGGGCTCTCAGAGGTCATCACAGATTGATTTCCGTGCTTGTCCAAGCCTCATCTTGCACACCAGTGCAGCAGTATCAAGGTCCAGTTAGAACACCCAGGCCTGACTCCCCAAGCAAGTGGATACATAAAGTTAGTCATTATGATCTAAGAGGCTTCCTTCGCTGCATGCACCCCTCTTCCGAGTCACACCAGGTTTGAGGTACAGCTGTTCAAGGAGCTCCAACTGCCTGCTGCTGCTGTTGGGTGAGGGCCATAGGGTCCAAGTTCTCACGCTGAAAGATCTCACAGCGTGGAATGTGGGTGCTAGGACACCTAGAAATTCCTGGAATATAGGTGATCTTAAAATTTAGCTGTTGAAAAAGATATCCCAACATCTCCACCCCAACTTACCTGCCCAGAGGTTCACAACTACCCTGATTCAGATAAGCAGGGGGTAGTTCCTTTTGAACTCTCTAGTTTCAAAGGCAGCTTCCACGGCCAACAGTTTTGTTTTACTTATTTATTTTTGGCTGCATTGGGTCTTCGTTGCTGCACGCGGGCTTTCTCTAGCTGCGGCGAGCAGGGGCTACTCTTTGTTGTGATGCGTGGGCTTCTCATTGTGGTGGCTTCTCTTGTTGCGGAGCACGGGCTCTAGGCACGCGGGCTCAGTAGTTGTGGCTTGCGGGCTCTAGAGCACAGGCTCAGTAGTTGTGGCACATGGGCTTAGTTGCTCCGTGGCATGTGGGATCTTCCCGAACCAGGGCTCGAACCCATGTCCCCTGCATTGGCAGATGGATTCTTAACCAATGCATCACCAGGAAAGCCCTGGCCAACAGTTTTTGTAATGACTGTTTAGCTTTACCAGGGGTAGATGCAACCTAGAACATGGTCTTCCTAGGATGGCCTTCAAAGTCTATTGATTAGTCTCCGATGGTTTTATCAGTTACAAATGACAATTTCTACTCATATTTATACTGAAAACTAAATGACTACTTCCTGTTAATTCCAGACAATGCTGATTATGTGACTTTGGGGCAGTTACTTAACATCTCTGTGTGTTACCTCTGTAATTGTATCTGTCTGTAAAATAGGGATTATATTAGTACCTAGCCCAGAGACTTCCCTGGTGGTCCAGTGGCTAAGACTCTGCACTCCCAATGCAGGCGGCCCGGGTTTGATCCCTGGTCAGGGAACCAGATCCCCCATGCCGCAACTAAAGATCCCACATGCCGCAACTAAAATATCCCATGTGCCACAACTAAGACCTGGCACAGTCAAATAAATATTTTAAAAAATAATTTAAAAAAATAGTACCTAGTCCATAGCATTTTTATGAGGAGTCAATGAGTTAATATGTGTAAAAAGCTCAGATCGATGCCTGGCATATACTAAATATTCCCTAAATCTTAGCCATCATCAATTTATTGTTATTGTTATTCCCCCACCCTCAGCCCACCTGCCTAGAATACTAAAGACAGCAAGGGAGGGAGGGAGGGAGGGAGGGAAGAAGGAAGGAAGAAAGGAAGAGAGAGGAAAAAAAGAAGGAAGGGGCAAGCTCAGGGTTAGCCGGGGTCAAGGAAGTAGACAGGCTGGCAAATATGTAGGACCATGCCTAAAAGGAATGCTTGCTAGCAAAGGTCCTAAACAGTGATGTAGGTTACAAACAGCATAGGCCAAAACTAGCCTGTGCTGGCAGAGACAAGAAGCAGGAGACAAAAGCCATATCAAACCACTGAATGGAATAAGGGTATGGGAACTGGACTGCCATAAGGAGAGCCTTATGCAGTTTGGCTGAAAACAAACTGAATTAGAGGATAAATAGGTCAAAAAGGAATATTCTTGCTACCTGTTCCCCATATGGACTGTTCTGAAATTTTCATTTTCCACATTCCCAATTAAATTGCTATAAATGTTAAATGGGGTGAATGTTCTTAATCTATTAAGTATTATTGTGTTTTAAAAGAATCCTTTCCTGTTATTTCCTACATCACAGAAATGATGGAATAACTGGGGGAATGTAAATGAAGTACACAGTTGAATTCCAGAGAAAATACACGGTAATTTTATTATTCTCCTTTTCCAGATAAAGCAATTGAGTAACTTTCTCAACTTGAATAGTAACTAGTTGTTATGAACTTTCAAATTTTGCATTTGCATGTCTCATCTCATTACTAATTTCTGAAGTTATAACTCTTACCTTGAAATCTTCAGAAGTTTTGCTCACTTACTAACAAGCTTGCAAACAGCCTATCAACCTTTAAAATAGAAGTGTACCTAGAAAATGTTGTGATGAAGGCAAAAGCCACTAGAGAGCACCATACCTTCTCTGATTTTGAAAGACCCCATGATGAAATGCTTTTATCTTAAAGACTGCTTGGAACTGTAAGAACCTGGAGCCTAGAGATCTGATTCTTCCGATCATGCCACTTATTAGATGGGTGGCCTTAGAAAAGCCTTTTAGCTTCCCCAGACCTTAATTTCGCTTTCTGTAAAATGTAGGGGGTTATGCTAGATGATCTTCAACCTCCTCTCAGCTCTAAATTTCTGATCTTATGCTTACTAGTTTACCTCTTCAGTGTCTCATGGATTAATCAGGAAGAAAACCTAGCAGAAAAGCAAAAATTTTACCTGTGTCATTTCATTATTTTTGCCAGCTCACCCACGCCGTTTCTACTTTTTCAGCTAAAAACCCTGGAGTTGCTTTTTTTTTATCTTTTACTTTGTTTCCTTTATTTATTTTTTGGCTGCGCAGCATGTGGGACCTTCGCTCCCCAACCAGGGATCGAACCTGCATCCCCTGCATTGGAAGTGCGGAGTCTTAACCACTGGACAGCCAGGGAAGTCCCACCTTGGGGATGCTTCTGATCTTTGCCTCATACACTTTATGGACAAATTATACCAATATTAATTCATAAACATTTGTAGAGCACTTTCCAAGTTTCACTGCTTTTGCGAATACTATCTTATTTGACTCACAACAGCTCAGGCTGGTAGATATTACCTTCAACTTATCTGGTAAGAAAACTGAGGCCAGAATAGGTCAGTGAATTAACTGCCTAAAGTAACAGGGATAATAAGTTATGGGAACAAGTCTGATTCCAAAGCCTATGTTCTTTTCACAACACTACAGATCCTACTAGGAGCAGATCCAGATTTTATGGGGCTTGAGGTATATATAATTTTGGTGGATAGCTTCAAGAAAAGGAATACAAAACTACAATACAACACTAAGTATGATCCTGTGACTACACTGTTAGGACCAAGTGAGGGAACTTTAGAGTTAATCTTTAGGATTCAATTTCATGGTTTTCCATGGTTATACATTTATTTAGTGCGTACTGTATGCCAGACACTAAAGTAAATACTGACTTTATTATCATAACAACTCTACGGGGAAGGTAGTGTCCTTGTTTTACAGAGCAGAGAACGAGGGAGGGTCAGAGAGGTAAAATGATTTGCCTAGGGACAAAGAGCTAGTTAAGTGCCAAGTACCAAAGTTGGAATTCAGATCTGATCCTGGGTCCATATCGTTAATCTGCCACACTATGCTCCTCTATAAGCCTTCTTTTGAGGTTTCCTGGGAATCATCTTATTCTACTACTTACCACTACATTCCATTGTTCAGGTCCTGATAGTTCACCTCTGAACCAGTCCTAGTTTGTCTCCCTAATTCAACTCTCCTACCATCTACCCTGAATGCTGCTACTACCCTAACAGTCCTGAAGCACTGCTGTTCTAAATCCCGACCACCCGAAACACCTGAAGAGCCTTCCTTCTCTGCATTTATTATTTTCTCTGCGTTTATCAAAGGTAAGAATCGATTACTGCTTATAAGCAGTACTTGGCTATAGATTCCATACTGTCTTCTAATGTGCTGAACTGTTACTGAAAGCTTTTTGTTGTGTGAAACAGAGTCAGAGTGGGAGAGAGGAAGAAAGTACACGGAAGCATTCAGAATTTTATCCTTCAGTCCCCACTCCATCACACTCTAGGACCCTCACTTGCAAAACAAAAAGCTGAAGGCCAACCTCACAGGGTTGTAGAGGGAATTAAGTAAGGAGAGGGGGAGGGGAGGAGAGGAGGGCAGGGTTAGGGCAGGCTCCAAGTACTTGTCAATGTTGGTGGATTTCTACCTGACTCACCCTCCCCCAAAATTTGTAAGGCAGGGGCCTTGATTCGTACATTCTTGGCATTTCTCAAAAGAAATTCCTCGGAGACATCAGAAGCACTCCAGGATTATTTAATTTGATCACTTCAACACCACCATAGGGTTGTGAGGATAGTTCAGGTGAACTGCTAAGAATACAATCGGCCCTTCAGAACTGTGAGCTATAATTATATTTTGTCCCAAATCCTCAGCGTCCATAAAAAGTTGGCCTCTCTGCAGTCTCATTTCTTCATATTTCCGACACACAGACCCTCCCTTGGGACCAGTGTCGCCACCGTCAGACGTGCTCTTCTCTCCCAACTTCTGCCTTTTATACCCACCATTCACCAAATGCTACAGACCAGGCTCTGGAGGAAGAAGGTTCCATAAATTCTCTCAAAACCACCAAAAGCCCTTCTGAGGTCGCTTCTACTATTGTTGCCATTTTAGGGAGCAGGAAACAGGCCCTGAGGGTTTGAGTGACTTCCCCGAGGTCACAGAACTCAAGCTGCGAGCCCACAGCCCACGCTCTTAACCTCTAGCCCTCGGCCTCTTCCCGGGTCGGAGGTGCACCCGCGTCCACTCAAACCCCGCCCAGTCCCCCACTTCCAGTCACTTCCCCGCTCTTCCGCGCGCCCATCTCCCCCCCCACACCTGAGTCAGGAGCCGGGGGACACGCCCCATCCGTCCTTATCGGTTTTCCCCTTTTCTCTGGCAGAGACTGAGGGCGAGATCGACGTTGGTGTCCCAGATGCGAGTAGGTCACCCTGAGGTCCTCCGACGGCTGGCCGAAAGGGCGAGTCCCCCACAGCAGTGCGGCAACGCGGTCGGCGTTGCATAGCGGGGCGCAGCTTTCGGGTCCTGTCGGGCCGCCGGTCACGTGGCGGGGAGGGGGCGCCAGCGCGCGCGAGAGAGTGAGCGGGCGCGCGCCTGAGAGCTGTGGAGGCGCGAGTTGCGGTTCGGGTGTGAGTGTAGGGGGGAGGGGGCGGTGGCCGGGAGGGCCGACTCCGCCCCCTGTGCGCATGCTCCGGCCCCGGCCAGTTATAAAGCAGCCTCGCTGGCCCGGCCCGACAAAGTGCTGGCGAGCTGCGACGTGACTACTCGGTCGCGTGGGTTTCCGGGCGAGCAGACGAGGCAGCCGGTGAAAGACGCTACCTGGACCCTGGGCCCTGCGGGACTCCAGCCGCGCCGCGGCGTCACGTTCACGCTCGGCGCCGCGAGCCGCGCATAACGGTTAGTTGGTAACTGGCGGCCGCACGTTCGGCCGGGACCCCGCGGTGCCCTTGCTTCCTCGGCTGGGTCTGAGGGAGCCTCGGGGGAGTGGAGGGCTTGGGCTCCGGGGGAGGGGGGGCGGCCGGGCGGGGGCATCTTGGCCGCAGCAGCCACGTGGCCTCGGAGCGCAGCGTTGGTGAAGGAGACCCTGAGGCACTGGGGACAGCGCTTTTCCCAGCAGAGCTGCAGCCCCGTTGTCAGGTGCGGGCCACCGGCCTGGTCGAGGAGTGGGGTCGAGCTAACGGTGACCTTGGGGAAGTCGCTTCTCCTCTAGTATTAAGTAGGCTGCTCCGGAGATGCTTTTGATCTGGGAAAGGGTCGACGTGAGGCCGATTCACGTGGTGCCTCCAGACTGCTGGCGGCTTTCTCCCGGTACTCGGGGCGGGAGTTATTTTGGACTCGTGGCACGCCCGCCCCAACCTCCTCGGCCAGCCAATCCTTGTCCCACCTGGCGACTTGGCGGTAGTGGCCTGAGGGAGCTGCAGTCCCCGCAGCCTAGGCGTGACTGCAGTGTCTGAGAGGACTTTGAGGAGGGGACGTTGCAACTGGCAGACGCCCGGAGTGGTGCTGACGGGAACTCTTTGTCATTCAACCTGTAGCTACCGAACGTCCGCCGCAGCGCCCTCGCTCTGGGGCTTTAAGGCGGCCCTGTCGGGAGGAATCTGAAGCATAGCGTTACACTTGGTCTGATGCACGCTTTTTGTTCCAAATACATCCTCTTTTTCCACGTGCGTTTTAACATTTCATTTATTTGTCATGACTTATTTGGTGCGACAAGCAGTTAGTTGCCAAAACTAGTTTGTAATTAATCTTAATCAAAAAAACAAACATTACTCCCCCCAAAACAAACGTTACTACTTTAGTCGAGTTTCCAGTTTGCTTATAAACTAGGCATCTACTGGTAACAGTAAAACGTTGACAAGCTACTTTATTTGTCAGAACTAGTTTTGAATTTTTTTTTCAAAAATTATTCTGGTTTCGAAATAAAATGTGTACACTTCAGTGCCCTGATAAAACAAATGTGGGTATAGTTACTAGAGGAATGTAGTGATAGGGTGAACTCCGAATTGTGTGAGAGTTTGAAAGAGTGTAAGTAGGAATTAGCCATTAATAAGCAGTTTTGATGTCAGCTACCAGACCAGTGAGGTGATGCAGAGAGTATGTATTTTAGTGTAGTTTTTTAGTTAGGCACTAAGTATACCTATAAATCCGACTTTTATACCGTAGGGTATAATTTTGCCTTCAAATTGCCATAGATATAATAAAGAATTTAAGAAATCTAGCCCTTAAAACAAGTATTGGGTAAGTATTAAAAGTTGCACTTCAGTAATTCAGGGATTAGATAGATGCTGTTCTTTCATTGGATTGCAGTGATCCTTGTTAAAAATGCAAGTTAATGGTCTGGGGAGCATTACCTGAGATCTTTATAGCTGAATAGGTTCAAAGGTTTAGTTGTAAGCTTAACATAATAGGCTATAGCATACTTAAACAGATTAAAAAGGAAAAAGGATCATGCCACCATAGGATGAACCAACTGATCAGTGTTTCAATAGTTTACATATTTTTAGCCTTTTAAATATTAATGCCTATAACTCTGGAAAAGATGTTGATGACCAGCTAGTCAGTTTCCCTTATTTTATAGATTAGGAAGCTAAGGTTGGAGAGGGTAAATGACTTCTCATCTTAGTTCTGAAAACTTTTTAATGGTTAGGTGGAGATGATGTGTCTTTTGACTCCCATTTAGTGAGTTCGGCGCTCCTGTGCGTTCTCTAAAATTATAAATATAGATATGAATTATCTCATGCCAAAAAACAGTTATTTTGAATAATAACTTCCTAACTTCTTACGTCCTTCATTCCCACTATATTTTACATCCACTTCATAATATGCATGCCTATGCAGGATTTAGGTCCCTGTAAATGCCTACATGGCCAATCTCATTTTGTTAGAGGACGAGGTTTGATTTGATTTATTATTGGCTGCCAGGCACTAGGATTCAGAGAGAGCTAGGATTCAGCAATGAACAAGTTCTAGCCCTGTCACTCCCAGAGTTTATGGTGTAACTGGAAAACAAATGTATAATTACCAGAACAAGTACTCTTTACAAACAAGTATTGAGTATATGATCGAGGAAGTACAGGTTCCTTTGGGAACAAATACTGTATTATGTAGGTGTGAGAAAACTCCCAATTTAGTATAGAAGCAAAGGTAGGCCTCTCCGAGGAAATGCTATTTAACCCGAGAATTGAAGGATGAATAGGAGCTAGCTAGGCCAGGGAGTGATAGTGGAAAGAGCATTACAGACATGAGTACTAAAGCTACAATCAGTACAGGGTACATTAGAAAAACGTATAGAATTTCACCAAAGCTAAAGCATGAAGAGGGAGCAGAGAGAATGGAGAAAGATGGAAGTAGACAATATCAGATAATGAAAGGCCTTATTAGTCATCTTAAGGAAATAGGGAAGGGACTAGGTAAAAAAAAACTTAAGGAAGTGCTCCGGTCTTGAAGCTAAATGAAGCAGTTTAATGGTTTTAAATGGGGCTGGGAATAGCATGATCAGATTTTGAATTTTAGGAATATCACTCTGGATACAAAGTGGAGAACAGGTTGGAGGGAGGCTGTTGGAGTTTTGTGAGACCACAGTGATGGACAAGATGGACAGTAGTGGGAAGATGGAAGAGAGAGGGGAACAGACAGGATTCAGTGATAGACCAGATGTGGGAGACAGGGGAAGCCAGAGAAGTTAAAAATATCTCCCAGGTTTCTAGCTTGAGCAAATGAGTTTATTATTTTTCTCCATTTAACCAACGTGGACATTAAGAGGTTGTGTGACTAGCCCAGGGCTGTTCAACTTCTAAGGGTTGGAAACAAGACTGAAATCCATTCTTGTCCTTTCTGTGTTTTTGCTGTTATTGATAGTAATTTTTTTCCCTTCTAAATAATTTATTATGGAAAGTTTCAAAACCAATTGAAGTTTCAAACAGCCATTACTGTTTCATCTATACTCCTACTTACTCCCTGCTGCCCCCTACTGGATTATTGTGAAGCAAAACATAGATATGCATTTCGTCTGTAAATATTTCAGTGTATCTCTAGAAGATATGACTCTTAAAAAACCATAACCACAATACCATTATCCCACCTTTAAGCATTAACATCACCAAATAACCAGGCAGTATTCAAATTTTCCTAAATTGTTTCAAAGTAAGTGGTCTGTTTGATTGGGATCCAGATTACATTTGGTTGGTATGTCTTTTAAACTACAGGTTCCCCTTTTCTCTCTTATTTTCCTCGTAAGTTATTTGTTGATGGAACCGGGTTATTTTTTCTGCAGTTTCCCTCATTCTGGATTTTGTTGAATGTCCCTCTGGTATAGGTGTAACATGTTCTCCTATCCCTCGTATTTTCTGTAAATTTGTAGATAGATTGAGGTGGGATTTCTGAGAGGAGGCATGGTGTGGTGGAGAGGGCAAATATAATTCATAGGTGGTGGTGTATATTTTTCCATCAGGAGGCATATGATGTTTGGTTGTCCCTCATTCTGCTATACTGATGGCCTAGTTCCGTTATTTCATTAGTGGTTTGCAAATGGCAATAATTTAATTGTGCCTTTAATTCTAACATTCCTTCGTAATTGATTAGCTAGAATACCTGTATAAAAGAGAGGTAGTTGGAATAGGAAGGACAAGTTAAAAGTTTGTGTGCTTTAATACAATATCATATATGATCACAACACTTTCTTTGTAGAGAAATGTATTTCAATGTAACAAGGTACATCCTCTTTAAAAAGCCAGTACATATTTTGTTAGGTTGTTTTTTAGCACTTGATGTTAATGTTTCGAATAGCTTTTAGTATTTGGGATATTTAGAATTTCTGTTCTTAAATTGGTAGGGATTCTTTTGGTCTTTGTTCTTTCTTGAAGAGCTTATCTGTTCCCATAGCTTTGGGGGAATTTCTGGTAGAATCACTCCCTAACCAAATCTAAATCTCTAGCTGTAACCAGATTACAGATTTTAAATTCCTTGAGGACAGGGATTGACTACTCCAGGTAGCCAAACTTAAAATCTGAGTCATTTTAATAGTTCTCCAGTGGGCCCCCACTCTACCAAATGCAATTAAGTGCCAGCCCCTTCTCCCCTTTGGTGTCTCGTGTCCACTCCTTCCCACCCCATTCTACTCCCCTTTTTCATTCTTATTACTGCTACCTAATTTAGGCTGCTGTCATTATTAGATTGGTACAGTGGCCTTTTAAGTTGTATGTTACTCATCCTTTAATTTGCCCTGACAAATTTTTCTCCATGCTTTTTTCCTCTAAGTTTTTTCTTTTACCTCTCCCTCTCTCTCATCTCCCTCTTCTCCCTCCTCTTCCTCCTCTTCCCCTTTCCCTTCCCCTTCTCCTTCCCCCCACCTCTTTCTCCCTCTCTGTTTTTGGTTGTAGGATCCATTTTATAATGGATTTATGGCAGGAAGACTAGTGTAGGTGACCTGTTTGAGCCATAGTGTCTTGCAGACAAGTGATTAAAAGAGCAATAATGATCTTATAGAAATGGTGATTTCTCTCCTGGGACCACAGTATACACAATAGCTACATGAGTTCACATCCAGGACAGTGTGACTGGCTGCATGGGCTAAGCCATTGAAGACTGCTACTGACCTTTTATGCAGAAACAGTAGGATCCAGCTCCTTTGGTTGTCCACACTCCCCTATTGCTGATCACAACTACTCATAATGTTGAATCCGATTTGATTACAATGATTTAGCCTTCATATAAAGGAGAAATTCCTCAAAATATACAGGCATTGTAAGCTGCATATTTGATTATTTGTTGAAAAATATTTCTTCCCTGTGATTTTGCTCTTATATAAATCTTCGGAAGACTATTGAGTGAAGGCCTGATGGTACAGTTCTGGTGTGTTAAACTATCTTGGATAATAATAGAGCTTAACAGATCTTTTG